TATAATAACAGCTCGGTAGTTCATGCACAAATAATGAATATGTATTTTCTTGAACATACATGTCACTGAAAATACATAAATCATCTGAAAATCTGTTTTTGTGTCCCAATTCGCATGTCCACTCTAATGCTATTGCAACCTTTCTTTAGTTGTGACGATTGTCTTTTGTGTTGTGTTGACAACTTGTTTTCAACTGGACCAACCGTCCTTGCATCTGGGATTTTTAGTGGATTTTTGGGGAAATTAAAAATGCTCTTGTGCCCTTGAAGGAATGGGATCTAACCCTTATACTAATGGGTTATTATAAGGCATGTGCGATGGTAACTTCAAGGAAATTATTTTACTGTTTAGGATGATGTAACTTATTGTGGCGAGTCCTCAAAAGATTAATTTAAATATATTTTAATATTTGGTTTTGCACGTTTTAAGACATGTCTATAAATTAAACAAATGAACAACAATAAATTAGGCGTTCTTGTCAAAAGAACAGCTAATGAGGTGATAGAAACTGTGCTGCATTGTCATGGTAAGATAAAGAGGACCTCGCATTGTCTTTTACTGCTCCCTTTGCCATTCTACATATATTAAACTGTATTTAAAAATGATGACCAGCCTTAAAGAACAAATTGGGTAACTACTGTAAGCTATGATACTAGGCTAAGCATTTTATGCAACTGGCCACTAAGGTCTTGTCATTTCAACACTGGACTACTGCATTGCCCTATCAACTGGCCTTCTATCAGTGTTACCAAGTCCGCGGTTTTCCTGCGGAATTGGGCTACTTTAACACTGTTTGCCGTGTATTTGGTTTTTATTGCTCATGCTGCAGAAACACTTCTACTTTTTTGGTTGTACTGTATAATAACAGCTCGGTAGTTCATGCACAACCATCCTTGCATTTGGGATTTTTAGTGGATTTTTGGGGAAATTAAAAATGCTCTTGTGCCCTTGAAGGAATGGGATCTAACCCTTATACTAATGGGTTATTATAAGGCATATGCGATGGTAACTTAAAGGAAATGATTTTACTGTTTAGGATGATGTAACTTATTGTGGCGAGTCCTCAAAAGATTCATTTAAATATATTTTAATATTTGGTTTTGCACGTTTTAAGACATGTCTATAAATTAAACAAATGAACAACAATAAATTAGGCGTTCTTGTCAAAAGAACAGCTAATGAGGTGATAGAAACTGTGCTGCATTGTCATGGTAAGATAAAGAGGACCTCGCATTGTCTTTTACTGCTCCCTTTGCCATTCTACATATATTAAACTGTATTTAAAAATGATGACCAGCCTTAAAGAACAAATTGGGTAACTACTGTAAGCTATGATACTAGGCTAAGCATTTTATGCAACTGGCCACTAAGGTCTTGTCATTTCAACACTGGACTACTGCATTGCCCTATCAACTGGCCTTCTATCAGTGTTACCAAGTCCGCGGTTTTCCTGCGGAATTGGGCTACTTTAACACTGTTTGCCGTGTATTTGGTTTTTATTGTATTCGGGTTGAAGCGACTCCAATAACATGACATTTATCCCCTGGAATGCGAATTTTAGCAGGGGAACCATGCCAAAAACCGCATACCCCCCCCGGAACGCGATTTTTAACTGGGGACCCCCTTGAAATGGGTGGGTTTTCTTGTGAAAACATGGCAACCCTGCCTTCTATCCAGTGCAAGGTAATACAGAATGTGGAGGCATTGTTTCTCAAAAGCGTAAGCTTAAAGGGATAGTTCACCCCAAAATGAAAACGCTGTCATTAATTACTCACCTTCAAACCCGTAAGACCTTCGTTCATCTTCAGAACACTAATTAAGATGTTTTTGATGAAATCCGTTATGATACTAGGCTAAGCATTTTATGCAACTGGCCACTAAGGTCTTGTCATTTCAACACTGGACTACTGCATTGCCCTATCAACTGGCATTTCTATCAGTGTTACCAAGTCCGCGGTTTTCCTGCGGAATTGGGCTACTTTAACACTGTTTGCCGTGTATTTGGTTTTTATTGTATTTGGGTTGAAGCGACTCCAATAACATGACATTTATCCCCTGGAATGCGAATTTTAGCAGGGGAACCATGCCAAAAACTGCATATTTTACCCCCCGGAACGTGATTTTTAACTGGGGGCCCCCTCGAAACGCCATCGGGCTAGTTTTGAGTAGCGATTGGGTGGGTTTTCTTGTGAAAACATGGCAACCCTGCCTTCTATCCAGTGCAAGGTAATACAGAATGTGGAGGCATTGTTTCTCAAAAGCGTAAGCTTAAAGGGATAGTTCACCCCAAAATGAAAATACTGTCATTAATTACTCACCCTCAAACCCGTAAGACCTTCGTTCATCTTCAGAACACTAATTAAGATGTTTTTGATGAAATCCGAGAGCTCCCTGACCCGCCCATAGACAGCAACGCAACTGTAATGTTCCCAGGTCCAGAAACGTAGTAAGGACATCGGTAAAACAGTCCATGTGACATCAGTGGCTCAACTTCAATTTTGCGAAGCTACGAGAATACTTTTTGTGCGCAAAGAAAACAAAAATAACGACTTTATTCAACAACTCTTCGCCCTGAGTTACTGTCTTCCGCCATTTTGGAGAGTATCACAACACATACGCACGCTTTCCCCTAAGCATAAACAACGTTAATTACGCCGATTACATTCATGCACGTACTGTACGCTCTTTCCACACAAAAAGTATTCACTGATGTCACATGGACTGTTTTACCGATGGTCTTGCTACGTTTTCTGGACCTGGGAACATTACAGTTGCATTGCTCTCTATGGGAGGAACAGAGAGCTCTCGGATTTCATCAGAAATATCTTAATTAGTGTTCTGAAGATGAACGAAGGTCTTACGGGTTTGGAACGACACGAGGGTGAGTAATTAATGACAGAATTTTCATTTTTGGGGTGAACTATCCCTTTAGGCGTAATCGTAAGCTAAGTTGATCGTAGCGACCATTGGTGGCAATGGCTCAACGATCTACTTAGGGTTACGATGCTTTTGGGAAACGCAGCCCTGGTCTTCAGTCATCCCAAGAGAACCCATATCACACGTCTCCTAAACTCACTCCACTGAAGTCACACTTCTACCACAAGCAAGCACTTAAAGGGACGGTTCAACCAACTGTTTCTTTCTTCTGCTGGATTCAAAAGAAGATATTTTGAAGAATGTGGGTAACCGAACAGTTGCTGATAGCCATTGACTGCCATTTAATTTTTTCCCCCCTTCAACCACTCAACAACCTTAACCAAGGCATTTAGTAACTAACCAACTAACTAATTAAATAAATACTTTTCTTCTTTCATGCAAATTTTTTTTCTAATGTAGATTTCAAATAATCCTGGCATTGTATACTATGAATATTGTCGGCTCTGTGACAAAATGCTTGTTACTGCTTTTTAAGTCACTTTGGATAAAAGTATCTGCTAAATGATTAAAAACAAATAAATACAGCACTACAAAAATGTGAAAATAATGCATAATTTATAACATATTTTTCTTATGATTTATACATTATTGTTTTTCTTATTTGAAAATAAAAAGTAACATAAACAATAATATAACTTATTTTTCAAGCGAGTAGTGCCTTAACATTTAATATGTGACCCTGGACCACAAAAACAGTCATAAGGGTCCATTTTTAAAAAAAAATTGAGGTTTATACATAATCTGAAAGCTGAATAAATAAGGTTAGGATAGGACAATATTTGGCTGAGACACAACTATTTGAAAATCTGGAATCTGAAGGTGCAAAAAAATCTAAATATTGAGAAAATCATCTTTAAAGTTGTTCAAATGAAGTTCTTAGCAATGCATATTACTAATCAAAAATTTAGTTTTGATATATTTACAGTAGGAAATTTACAAAATATCTTCATGGAACATGATCTTTACTTAATATCCTAATGATTTTTGGCATAAAAGAAAAATCTATAATTTTGACCCATACAATGTATTTTTGGCTATTGCTACAAATATCCCCCAGCGACCGCTTTTGTGCTCCAGGGTCACATATTACCAAAAAAATAAATAAAATGACATGACCGAAAGAAATGAAATGAACAGATGTCAGTGGATGCTGATTGATAAAAGAGTGTTAAAGACAGATTTGCCAAACAAATGCAGTGTCCAGCTCACTGAAAACAAAAGCTGTCAAACACACTGCGCTCACCAAAGACATAAATAAACACACTGAAGATGCTTCATTCATTGCATCACTTTTTTTGGTCAACACTGCCACAATAAGAAAAGATTTCCATGTTTTCTCTTCTTCTCTATCGCGTGCAATGATATCAGATTTACAACAATACAATCAAACCAAAAAACACCCCACTTTGTACAATGTATAACCTCAATTCATAACCCACTTACCACACTGCAAGCAATCTCCAATTAATGTTTGCAAATAAGTAAATCCAAAAGTCTCATTCTGCTCTGATATTCGAACACTCGTTGCGGCTCAGAGCAAAAACTCAAATGTCTGACAAGCGAGGCATTGTCTTTTCATGAGAAAGATGTTTGATAAAATCATTTGCAATACACTGGCACAAACACAGCGATTCAGCCTCCGCTATTATCTGCATATGTCTCTCATAATACACGTAGTATTAAGCACCAGTTTCATAAGTGTGCATTAAACAATCATTTGTCAGAGTTAAACTTTCTTTAGGAAAGCCTGGGGTTTTAGAGGCCTTTATTATCATACTTACAGGTAACCGCATTCCTTTAGGAGAGTAATATTCTTTTGCTCGTTTTGTGAATGCAGGTCCTGTCTCTTTGTTTATATTCAAATACTGTGCGAACTCGAGATGTTCAACCCTGCTATCATACACTGAAAGATGAAATGTGTGTCTTCTGAATAAATCTGCTGAACTTACACATATCAGTGAAACTCTAGTTCAAATAAAAGAACAAGTGTACTTACATGTGAATGTGAAAGATCAGCTTCAAACGACTATTGCAGATACAGATAATAACACATGTGAATAACTATGGGTGCAGACACATGGTCAACTTGCGAACTTAAACCTTTCCAATATGGCGGACAACTCAGTGGCCCACAGAAACGGAGATGGAAGAAAGGAAAGAGCAGAAAGAAAAAAGGGATGAGAGGAGCAAAATGTAGATGCAGAGTATAAAGCTTCAAAATATCACAACTCCCTGTTGAAAAAAACAGCATATGCTGGTTAGGTATGTTTTGAAGTTGGGATGCTGGTCCTTTGCTGGTTTAAGCAAATAGTTAATATATTGTCTAGAACGAATATTGTCTTCTCAGAAAGAATTTGTGCCCCCTCAGTTTTCTTAACAAACTTATTTATTTAAACCGTTAATGGATAATTAATTGGAGGAGCATGGGCGCACCGTCTGCAGAGCGCATAAAGTTATCACCGTGTAGCTAGCCTATCAGTAGGTTACCGCGCGAGCGATTCGCGAGGAGACGCGGGTTACGGTCATAGCTGAGCTTTGATGATGACAGCTAATTCACGATTTACCGGACTCACTCACTGTAATTAATCCCCTGCTTTAATAGGGTTACAAACTCTTTTCATGCTATATTAATGCTATAATGCATATTGTGTCATGTTTATCGAAACATGTTTAAATTTTTTTAAAGTATGGTAAAAACTGGTCAAATGTACCAACGATCACGTTTAAAAAAATATACACTTTTTGATACACCATTAAAAAACCGGTAGCCCATCTGAATTTGGACATTTAGGCTATGCATCTAATAGTAGCCTACCAAAATCTTATTAACAGTAGAAGTTCAATCTTACTGTAGTCTTCAGATCCGGCACAAGTGAAGCCAGCCAGCACAGAGCTCGCATTAAAACTGAGCAGCTGAGCCCGAGTCACTACAGCGAGCACTCGCCTGAGTACAGCGTTTACAGCGCTCACGGATCCTCGGCCGCCTCCGCCTCGTTCGCCAGCGACTATACAGACCTTCAGAGCTCCGGCTACTACAGCCCATACGCCGGCTACCCATCCGGTCTCTACCAGTACCCCTACTTCCATTCCTCACGGAGGCCATACGGGGGCAACATCCTCAACGGCCTGTCCATCCCGCCCTCCCACAGTCCCTCCGCCAGCTGGGATCAGCCGGTTTACACCACGTTATCCAGGCCGTGAGGCCTGGCCGCAAAGGACGGTCGCCGTGATTTCGCCAAGTAAGACGTGTTCCTGTATGGGGTTGAGAATCGAAAATCAATTCCGATTCCAGAATCAGATACTTAAGGTCAGGAATCGGATACTTGTCATAAAATTCAAATTTCAATTCTACTTACCGATTCCTTTATTTTTAGTTGGCGAAAAGTAGCTGTTGAAAATGTAGCCTAGCTATTTGTCTTTGAATCATTCATTCAAGAGATTTGTTCAAAAACACTGATTCATCCAGTAATGAGTCTTGAGTGAGTCATTGAATCGTTCCATTCATAAATTCCATGAAATTTTGTTTAGTTGTCTAATATTTTTTCTTCAGAATTGTGAGAGAACTAAAAAAAAAAAGACTCAATTTGTCCAGAATCGTGCACACCAACAGCTCTTAATCGAGTCCAGTTTTTATGTAGCTGGCTGATTTTTGTTCATGGAATTCAGCAGCAGTTCAATGTTTTGCAAAAAGAATACGTTTGATATCTAAATGTTGTACTCTATATTTTTAACCACATTGGAATCAAAACAGGGAATCGGTAAGAATCGGAATCGATAAGCAGAATCGGAATCGATTCAATTTAAACGATTCCCAACCCTATTCATGGATCAACGTCTTTTGTTGATCCTGGATTAACATTATCGTCCGAACTTTAGCCCTACCTCTAAACCTAACCCTACCCATAATTTAGCC